CTTGATGAATGACTTGTTTGGAGCATATTTGAGGAGGTTTGTTCTTGTGTTTTTTGATGATATTCTGATTTACAGTTCCAGTATGATGGAGCATAAAAATCATTTAAGAGTGGTGTTGGAAATTCTGTTGAAGAATAGTTTGTATGCCAAAAAGAGTAAATGCTTTTTTGGCCAACAGCAAGTAGAGTATTTGGGACATTTAATTTCAGCTAAGGGAGTACAACTGACCCTGAAAAATAAGGCTATGCAACAGTGGCCTTTACCTAAAAACCTAAAAGCTTTGAGAGGATTTTTGGGTTTGACAGGGTATTATAGAAAATTTATCAAAGGGTATGGAGGAATTGAGTAACCCTTGACTAATATGTTGAAAAAGGAAGGATTTCATTGGTCTCCAGAGGCTAAATTATCTTTGAGAATTTAAAAAGGGTTATGTGTGAAGCCCAGTTTTGGCTTTACCAAATTTTGAGCAGAATTTTTTTTTTGGAAACTGATGCTAGTTCCAGGGGCATTGGGGCTGTTTTATCTCAAGCAGGAAGGCCTATAGCTTTTTAAGTAAGGCTTTGGGGCCAAAGCATGCAGACCTCTCTATCTATGAAAAGGAATACTTGGCCATCCTAATGGCAGTATCCATGGGAGCATTATTTGGAAAGTGGCCATTTGTGATTAAAACAGATCAGAACCCCTAAAACACTATTAGAACAAAAGCTGACTACTACAATCCAAAAGAAAGGTCTGACTAAGTTACTTGGATTGGATTATACAATTCAGTACAGGAAAGGCAAAACAAATAAGGTGGCAGATGCACTTTCTAGACAGCGATTGGATTCTGGGGAATGTTTGCAAATGGGGGTTACTGTTGTAATTCCTACTTGGAGACAGGATATTGAGCAGAGTTATGAAGGGGATCTACTAGCTCAAGAGAAGATTCCTATTTTACTTATTCAGCCTGACAAGATTGAGAATGGAAGAGAATTAAAGGAGTTTTATACTTCAATTCAAGCTACTTATCAGAGGGTTAAAGCTTATTTTTATTGGCCAAAGATGAAGCTTATGATTCAAGAATATCTACAACAATGTGAGGTTTGTCAGAGAACTAAAATTGAACACATTTCTAAGCCAGGTTTACTACAACCTATTCCAGTTCCAAATAATGCATGGGAAGTTATAACAATGGACTTTATTGAAGGGTTGCCACCTTCAACAAAGTACAATTGTATTTTGGTAGTGGTTGACAAATTTACTAAGTATGCTCATTTTATGCCATTGTCACATCCCTACACAGTGGTACAAGTTGCTAAGCTGTATTTGGATCAGGTTTATAAGCTTCATGGTCCTCCTAAGGTAGTTATTTCTGATCGGGACAAGTCTTTTACTAGTCTATTATGGCAAGAGCTACTTAAACAATTGGGGACAACTACACTTTTCAGTACTGCTTATCATCCAGAGACAGATGGGCAAACTGAGAGACTCAACCAGTGTTTAGAACAGTATCTCAGATGTATGTGTTTTTTAAAACCTACATCTTGGTCAAAGTGGTTAGCCCCAGCAGAATGGTGGTATAACACTAATTACCACTCTGCTATACAAATGACCCCATTTGAAGCCTTATATGGTTATAAGGCACCTCTTCTGAGTTGGTCAGGGGATTCTAGAGTGGATGCAGTACAAACTATGATGCAAGATAGAGAGCAATTTAATGCTTTACTACGTGAACAACTACTTAAAGCCAGTAACAGAATGAAGCAGATTGTAGATAGGCATCGTACAGAAAGGGATTTTCAGGTTGGAGAGGAAGTTTACCTGAAACTTCAGCCTTACAGACAGACATCAATCGCCTTAAGGAAAAACCTAAAGCTTGCTGCTCGATATTACGGTCCCTACAAAATACAGAAAAAAATTGGTCAGGTTGCGTATCAACTGGAATTGCCAAATGATTCTAGATTACATCCAGTGTTTCATGTTAGCTTATTGAAGAAGAGAATCGGAAAACAGGGACTTATCTCGCTGAATCCTCCTGAAACATCTTCAGATGGTCAATTGAAAATTTACCCAGCAACAGTGTTGAATCGACGCGTGGTGACACGACAGAAGCAGAATGTTACTCAACTGTTGATTCAGTGGAAGAACATGGGACCAAATGATGCAACGTGGGAAGATGCTTCAGTGTTGCAGAACCAGTTTCCCGATTTCGATCCTTGCGGACAAGGATCGTTTGATGGAGGAGGTATTGTCACGATGGAAGGGGAGTTAGGGTTTGAAGGTTTTAATTTGGGGAAAATCGAAGAAGGAAGTTGGGGGAATCATCGGCAGAAAGGGGGAGAGGAGAGAAAGGAATTAGGGATTGAAGGGGATTAGGGATTGAAGTGAAGAGGGAAAGGCAAAAATAAGGACAGGAGAATGGGTCATACGGGATTGGGTATGGGTTAATAAGGTAACTGGGCTTTATTACTTAGACCCAATTAATATATCAGTAGGCTTATGAGTTAAAGGGTGGGCAGGTCTGGATCTAAGTCAGAAGTGAGAGGGATGGAAGGGTGAGTCATCATTTTAGACGGTTAATTTTGGAGGAGGTATTGTCACGATGGAAGGGGAGTTAGGGTTGAAGGTTTAATTTGGGGAAAATCGAAGAAGGAAGTTGGGGGAATCATCGGCAGAAAGGGGGAGAGGAGAAAGGAATTAGGGATTGAAGGGGATTAGGGATTGAAGTGAAGAGGGAAAGGCAAAAATAAGGACAGGAGAATGGGTCATACGGGATTGGGTATGGGTTATAAGGTAACTGGGCTTTATTACTTAGACCCAATTAATATATCAGTAGGCTTATGAGTTAAAGGGTGGGCAGGTGGATCTAAGTCAGAAGTGAGAGGGATGGAAGGGTGAGTCATCATTTTAGACGGTTAATTTGTAGATTGCTGAATTGCCAGCTGGAGGTACTGCTATATAATTGTACCTAGAATCTTTGAGGATTTTATCTTATGAAATGAAAATGCACACTTTCTGTAACCTATTCTCTCTATTTTCTTAAATCCCTAAAAAATTCTTCTATCATTCTATCCTAAACCATAACAGGGATTTTCTTGCACGTTGTGCCTAAGGCTGGATAACATCGGATCTATGATGCTCCAGTAGTGATAAACTGCATTGCATGAGATGCAGCAACCAGGCGAGGAATGTGATGCTGTTTTAGTTCTCTGGGCGCAAGCACTTCGGTTGAATCAGCATTGGCAGGTACCATTTCGTCTCTGGGTGTTGCTGTTTTTCCAGGAAGGCCACTCCAGGCTTATCTGGATGCGGCAGAGGAGGATTATAATGTATAGGAATCGGGTTCTCCAAAGGTTCATGTGCCAAAGGAGCCTTAAGTGAAGGTGAATCTGGTTTATTATGAATATATATTGTGTAACATGTTCTAGTTTTTGTCATTGATGAGTATTTGGAGGCGATTGTGATTTGGCCATTGTAGGTTTATTATATATCACTCTTCGGAGTTTATTATTTATCTTTAATCTTATTATTATACACACACATATGTATTGCCGTTTAGTTCACTTGGACAAGCACTTTTTTTAGCCTTGTGCCCTGGACAACGCCAGACCTACGATGCTCCAGTAGTTTCATGAGATGCAGCAGCAAGATTGTGATGGTGTTATAATTCTCCCTGCGCCAATATTTTTTGTCTGATGCTTCAGTTGAATCATCTACTGTATCTCATGATTGGCTATTCCATGCTCTTCATGATACAGTGGAACATAATGATTATAATTATTGGTAATCGTTCGTGTATGGAAGGAGCCTCAACCCAAGGTGGAAGCGACACCTACACCAAGACCCTGATATTTTTTAACCTTTCTTTGAATTTGCATCAGGATTTTCGTCCAAGGCTTCAGTTGAATCATTTGCTTTATTTTCATTGATATCCGAGGCAACTTTGTTAGAGATGATCTGAGCCTGCTGTTGTTGAAGATGATCAGAGCTCTGGTAACTTTCCCGTTGAGGCCGATGCTGCTGCTGGCTCTTGTCGACGTTGTCGTGGCTTCTTGCCTGTTCAATGCAGTAATCTCCGGCCTGGTTCTGTTGATGAGCATCCGTCAAAGGTAACCCTTGAGAAGATTGGCTTTCTTTTTAGAATTTCCTGAAACTCTGCTCCCTTTGTTTTCTCTCACGAACTTGGTGGTGTAGTTTGGTCTTTAGTCTCTTTGATATTTATTGATAATGAAACCAGAATTTTACCGTGAAAGATGATGCTATAACTTAGTGTCATTGCATCAAGAATAAAGCGATATAATTGTATGAAAATGAAAGCAACTATGATTACTTTACCAAGGAGGCCGATGCTGCTGGCTCTTGTCGGCATCCACCTGCTCATTTGTTCCTCACAGTAATATTCGTCCTGGTTCCGTTACTGAGCATTCATTGAAGGTAACCCTTTAGAAGACTGACTCTTCCTTTTCAATTCATTTGTTTTGCTTTTCAATAAAAGAAAGAGAAAATAACTTTAGTGACCGAAAATGTCTTATAATATACGATTTTAACCAAATTTTTTTGGATTTGAGAAAATGAACAACAAATTTGCAACGCGATCTCGAATTCGCAACTCGAACTCCAATTTCGCAACACAGTTTCCAAATACGCAACATGAATATGTAAATCGCAACGCGGATTTTAGTAATGTTTACCTATATCGGTAATTAGCGTTGCGAATTTGAAAATCGCGTTGCGATAGTACTGTTTACCTATATCGGTAATTAGCGTTGCGAATTTGAAAATCGCATTGCGATAGTACTGTTTACCTATATCGGTAATTAGCGTTGCGATTTTAGAATTTGTGTTGCGAAATTAGAGTTCGCGTTGCGAATTTGTTGGTCATTTTCGCAAATCCAAAAAAAGTTAGTTAAAATTGTATATTATAAGGCATTTTCGGTCACTGAAGTTATTTTCTCTAAAAGAAATTACATGTTTTTATAAATAAGTTAGATCATTCTTTAGATTTTATTATATACCTCAGGGTTTTTTTAATCATAATAAAATTTTTGGTTTGCAGAAGAAACAAGTACAGAGTTCTAACAATATACAAGAACACATCAGCCCTCAGCAACAAATCCTAAGCTGGCCAACCCATCTGCAAAACGAGAGAAGAAAACAGGAGAAACAACCAACCACTGCATGGGTACACTAGGATCGGGGTTCATCTCATCAATGATGCAGAGAGAGTGAACACATCAGCCATCAGCTCGAATCCATAGCTGAAATTTGACGCCAAATCGCAAGAGGCTAGAGCGAAGGATGAATCAAACTTATGATGAAAAACGTCAGCTACTCATGCACTGAAAACCCACACTAGTGCATTGATTTCTGAAGTAGAACAGATGCTCTCTCAATGCAACCTACATGCTCTCAAGATAACTTTTTATGTATCTTGAGCTTATTATACATAAAAATTAACACACATACATGATACATTTTACGCTTTTCACCTTGCATCTGAAGACAATATAAGTGTTATATCACTGGCAACAACTTGACTTTGGTTTATTTGAAGCTTTCCTTACAGGAACAGTTTCGCCCCATGCATCAGTTGAATTATCACGCTCTTCATGATATAGTAGAAGACGATGATGATTATAATTATTGGGATTCTGTTCATGTGTCAAAGGAGCCTCAACCCATGGTGTTTGAGAATGGGAACTCTGATAACCACTAGGATGAGCATCTCTTGAATGATCAGTAACAGAAGCCGACTGATCTGAAGCAACTTTGTTAATCAAAGACGAATCATCGTTTACTGCACATGCTTCTGAAGGTATAACTGTAACTACAGCCTGCTGTTGTTGAAGATTATCAGGATTTTGATAACTTTCCCGAGGCTGATTCTGTTGTTTAAGATGATCGGAACTCAGATAACTTTCTTTAGGTCGATGCTTTTGTTGAAGATTGTCAGAGTTCTGATCACTTTCTTGAGTCTGATTCTGTTGCTGGAGATGATCAGAACTCTGATAACTTTCCTTAGGATGATGCTGTTGTTGAAGATTATCAGAATTCTGAAAACTTTTCCAAGACTGATGTCGTTGTTGAAGATGACCAGAGCTCTGATAACTTTCCTGATGCCGTTGCTGCCAGCTCTTTCCAGTGTTGTCACTGCTCAGTCGTCCGTCGCTGCAATCATCAACCTGGTTCCTTTGATTGGCATCCATGAAGGGTGACCCTTGAGAAGACTGACTCATCTTTACAACCTGGTTCCGTTGATTGGCATCCATGAAGGGCGACCCTTGAGAAGACTGACTCATCTTTACAGATAACTCATCTCCCTTGTTTCTGTCAGAAACTTGTTGGGCTGATATGTTGTCTTAGCTTCTTTGATATTTATTGAACATGAAACCAGAATTTTAAACTGAGAGATGATCAATTAGCTTCATTGTTTCAATTACGGATCAAGAATAAAGTGAAAGAGAATAAAAAACCAACCAGCTTGTATTAGACACTTCCTCAAACAACAGCTGTGGCATTTTTGATAACCTATCTTGCTCCGACTTTTCATTTTTCTTGTAATTATCGTGTGTGCGATGCATCTTCAAATGTAAGTACGAAGAGATGATATTTCAATAACTCTTCAAATATACGAAAATTTTTAAATATTTGATATTGAGTCGAGTTATTTATGTTGTTTGAGCTATTCGAGTCAACTTCAATTTTGAGTTTGAATTTTGAGTTGAGTTGGCTGTTTAAAAAGCTTTGCAAGTCGAGCGAAGTTATAAGGATGGAGACAGGGTACCAACTCAAAAGCCAAATCGTGTTACTGTGTAAAGTTTACCTGATCGAAGGGGGACAAGTGTTGTAACTACCACTCCGAAAGGGTTCTACCTCAAAACCACCCGTGGAAACTAATAACAAAGAATTCGCATGGTCTAATGGATTTGTATATTGAGTTGTGAATAAGCATATTAGGTTTCTAATTATTTAAGCTCAATCTTTATAGTTTTACCGGTCCAACTGCAGGACAACAACATGATTATCGTATACACGAGATATATAATAATGTACTTTCTAAGATTCTAGGAAAGACTATTTCCTTCAAGTGGGAGAGAACTCGTTCTGCCTCTTACATCCATATCATAGTCGATCAATCCGAATCAGAAAAGGTAAATTACAATGTCAACTACTTATTTTCTCACATCCTAAGTCAACGTAAACTATTTCCTTACTCGTTTGTCCCTTCTCGTTCTGTTGACGAGCACCCATAAAATGTAACACTCGATCAAAGTTGTATACTCACCCAGTTATTTAAAATATTACAGTTGTGTTTTCTCGATCGAAATTCTTGACATAAAGAATATTATTATGATCACATGCGATGGATATCGATCATTATTTAAATACGTGATTTCAACCAATGAAAATAAGTAAAAGAGAGAGTATATATTCAGCAAAACCAAAAGAAAACATGTGTTCATCGCTCAGCTTTATGCTAAAGCAATAAAGCTGCTCCCTCGCTGATTTTATTCTTGAGGAACATTTTCTTTTTGATTTGAGCTAAGAGTTGTAATTAATGAGAGAACGATCGTTGATCAATATTTTTTATAAGAGAAATGGAGTCGGTCATGAAAACGAAAAAAGTAACAACTCTGAGTTTAAACAGACCCTAAAATATTTTTGAAAAAGGTGATCTGTCAACGGCCGATAAGATCAATTTGTTATTTTCGATAAGTAACAACTCTAAGTTCAAACAAACCCTAAAACGTTTTCGGTTTGAATAATCTTACACTATTGGAGGTGATGTAAAATTCCACAACTGTATTATTCGGTTGATTTTTCAACATTGTTTAATGACGAAGATGTAAGATTATCAAATAATAAACACCAAGTGAGAATATATAAAAGTAATGTTATTATCATATATTTCTTAAGTAACGTAAAATTACTAACAATAAACATTATTGTTAGTGATTATGTATGGTTATTTTCAGCTTTAATCTTTTTTTATAATTTGATTTTTAAAATTTATTTTTTATCAACTTTAATATTTTCACATAAAATACAAAATAAAAAAGTGATGGTGAGGGAGCTATTATCATATTTTCAGCTTTTTTTTAAAAAATTGAATAATTTAGATAATTTAATCTAATTATCATATATAATTTTATATTTAGTGAATTAAACAATTCTAAGTAGATACTTCGATATTGTTAGTGATTATGTACAGTTGACACTCATACTATATCCATCACCTTTTTTGATATGGCCACAAGGAAATATAAATGAAAATTTAGAGAAAAAATGGTTATATTCGAATACGATGACATGGTTAATATAGATGTTATAAACATTAAATTATTTTATTATTTTTATTTCAAATAAGTATTAGATATGAATATGTTATTACATTTATTTTTTAAATTATATATATGTATATGTTTATTTGAAGGGTTATACGTAAAATAAATGTTGGATATAGTTTATACAAATATGTTTTTTTTAAATAAAGATCAAATTCAATAATTAAATATTAAATTATATTCTTATATTTATATTTAAATATATATTAAATATGAAAGTCCCCTAATGGGATAAGATTAATTAAACCTCGTGTCACATTCTCCAAAAGTCTTATTCTTAGGGGGGGAAAGAAGAGAGAATATAATTAGGTAATTAGCATAAAACATCGACATGTGTTTATTTATTTATTATTTAGTCATCAATAAAATATATGTGATGAAATTTCAATTTCTTTTGTATAATATATTGAGATTATATATTTTTAAATAAAAGAAAATTTTAATCAAAATCCATCATAATAAATATTATCATATAATTAACTTAATTTTAACTAAGTTGAATTAATTAGAATTAGAACTAAAATTAACTAGATAATATGTGCACAATCTATGTAGAACAAAACTCGAACTTAAATGTTAAAAAACACATAGCTTCGGTTTTGTCAATTCTGTAAATAATTTATTGACCGAAGACTTTAATATCAAGATTCAATATTTTTAATTTATCAATTAATTTAGATACATTCTGTATTTAATTTTTATTTATGATAGTTGGATTTGATAATTTTTAAATTATTTTATTTATATCATATTTGTAACAATTCCACTCGTAAAAAGTTAAAACTCGTGAAATTATTATTATTTTTTCTTTATCATAAAAGAATTGAAATGATAAGATTAAAATATAAGATAAGAAAGGGGCAACTTTTTTTTAAGGTAAAGTAACATATGCTAGCATTTTGGGTATCTTATAAAGTGAATCACTCCAAGCCCCCCGAGTGTGGGCTTTGCATGGGGGTTAAAGTAACGTTACGCACGGATAGAGTGCTAATAATTACCAGGTATCACCTCTCGAGATAGCGTTATACAATAACGAGATGAATCCGAGACAAAGGGAATCCGAGACAAAGGGAATCCGAGACACTATTTATGTTAGTAAAATCTTAATGGAGTTACAACGATAAATGATTCATCTCTTCTGGTTATCAAAGCTGATAACAACGGTGTTTGCCATTGACTAATGTGGATAACAATTTGTGATATTTAGATACCAGAATGATTTAAAACTTTATATACCAAAGTGATAAAAATAAGGCCAAATTTGTATTTAACCCTACATCCAAAGATGCTGAAATCAAGTCGAATATGGTAATCTTATCCTTTTGTTTTATTTGTTTAATAATATAAGAAAGTGAAAGGATGTAATTGAAACAGAAGGGAGATTGAAGGGGGCATCTTGTACAGTAAAGTTAGATGCTATACCTTAGCCTTTATGAGTAAAGATTCTGTCTCCATGACTCCCACTTTAGTGGGTTTTGCTTGGAGAATGAAAATTGGAAAGGGAAGTCTCACACGTTACACAATGGTTATTCCATAGTTTAATTTGGGCGTCTCATCGGATTGCTCACATTCTTTTCATATTTACATATTTTTACTAATCAATTTTTTAAAAATATACTTTAAATTATATATATATATTAAAGTTTGATTATTTATGTTATTTATTGTTATATTTTAATCAACGAGTCATTAATTTTGATTAGTTTGATGACATGACATGTTAGTAAAAAGAGATAGATTTTAATTTGACCCATAGACTTTAGATAAAATACTAATTTGACCTCTAAAGTTTAGATGAAACTCATTTTATCACTTAAACTTTATATAAAATATAAATTTAACCTCTGAATTCGACCAAAATCTCTCACTATCAATCGTCATTGGTCGTCATCAATCATTGGCGATTAATGGATCTCAAAATTTATGGATCACTATTTTTTAATCTCCTGAACACGATTATGGTGTCAATTTCACCGAAAAATGCCTCGAAATCAATAAATCTAACCTAGAACCTTTCGACTTCCTTTAAAATTAAAATTAAAAATCTAAATCTATATTATAATCAAATGCATAAATTATTTATTTATAATATTGTTATGTCATATTTTTTGTTATATTTATAAAATTAGCTTAATTCAATCATTATAAATCAGATTGAATCTATACAAGTTTAATATGGATCAATTCGATTTTAGACTATTACTATTATTATTATTGCAATCCAAATTGTATTGAATCAGATTGAAAAGTTTGATATGAATCAATACGAATTTTTAATTTATTATACAGATAAAAGGTAAACGGAAGTGATGATCGGATTATGTATTGAAATGTTTAGCAAATGAAAGAATAAGATATCCATACGTATAGTAAATGAAGATTTTATGTTAAAGGGGCAAACGTATAAAATTTTAGGTGGAAAATTAACTTATAAAATTTTAGACGGCGAAAACATATTTTTAACAAAAAAATACAAATAAAATATAAAAAAAATATTTAAAATATTTAAGAATTTAAAATTTTTAGGGGAAGAATGAGCCTTATTATTTGCGGCAACTTTGTTAAATTTTTGGGTAAAGTATACAAATGATCCACTGACTATATAATAATGCTTTGTTGAGTCCCTTGACTATTAGAAGTTACAACATAATCACCCGACTATAAGGTGTTGATTTATTAAGTTCCCCGACTATTGAAAGTTACAAAATGGTCATCTGACTATTCAAATGCTTTCAAACTCGTCTTTTTCCGTTAAAATTTGAAGTATGTTTGAGGTGTACGTTAACATGCTGACTAGAATATGATAAAATGTAGTCCCTGAATCTCAAACAACTATACACTTTAAACGGTTCTGAAATCATATTTTAGCATATATCATTCAACATGATAACATCTAGCTTAGACGACCGTCAATTGTTTAATAGAAAATGATGAGTTTGGAATATATGAATAATCGAGTGACCATTTTGTAACTTGTAATAATTGGGAGACTCAACAAATCAACATTCTATATTTAGGGAAAATTTTGTAACTATTAATAATCGAGGGACTCAATAAAGCATTGACATATAGTCAGGGAACATTTATCTACTTTACCCTAAGTTTTTTAACTT